CGCGCTTCCAACCCGGCCGCCCGGGTTCGATTATAAAGCAAGGCCGTAGCCATGGAGTCAACATTGTGGGGGACCAAATCTTCCAGGGGGTCTGGGGGTCCCAACCCAGAAAAATATCTACATTTGAAAACTAATTTCCTACTTAAAATAAAAAAAAATTAAGTAACACATGGGATGGACTTTTTATTTATTTTTGACAATAATGTCTAATAGTGTATTGTATTACATTGCTCTGTTTTGATTTTTTTTTTACCATTTCTTGTGTCATTGTATGTAATGGCAGAGATTAGGGATTAATAAAATACAACCATAAACACAATCATATAAACATAAATCTATGCATTGATTTATATGAAGACAACTCCACATATTGTGGCCTAGGTTTAGCAAATTGTTGTTTTTATTTACATAGCATAACAATTATTTTTTATAGCAATGTATTGGGGGGGCATTTTGAACACAAGGACCCATAAACTATCATATGTGTCCCCCCCAATATATATTTTAATTACGGCCTTGTTATAATCACTCGTGGTCACCACCGGTGACGATTATCTGAACCGGTCTTGGGCTTCCCCTAAGTAGTTTTAGCCTTAAATGAGTACCTGGTGCCAGTGCCGGATTAAGCTAGTGCGGGCCTGTAGCATATGTTATCAAGGGGCCCTAAATTTTAAAAACACAGATATATAAACAAAAATGTTTACTTGCATAGTAAAGTAATTGCATTTTTTCATTTTCTATACAGCCAGAAAATACGACAAATCGCTAACCTTAAACACCCAGTCGTTCATAAAAGTTGAAGGCAGTATAGTACTATAGTAACAGCGCAAGTGCAGAATCACTGAACCGGAATTGATAGCTTGAAAGCGTTGAGCACGGGGCCCTTGAAAGTGCGGGGCCCGTAGCATTTGTAGCGACTTTTGCTGCGAGGATAATCCTGTACTGCCTGGTGCGATGTGTAAACATCGCCACTCGGGAGACAAAGCCAACCAGCCGGGCGTGGTGCTGACCACCCACACACCCTCGTGTGCATGGATGTGAACTCAGACGGTTCACCCCATATTCTTGTGAAGAGAAATTTAGTTTTCAGGTCTATACGGCGTACAGCCGTATCAATACGGGCAGATACATGTATATTTGTTTGTGTTTCTCCCTTGTGATGGGACTTTGTAGAATGAACGTTGCGATTTATAAGGGATACGGGGTGAAATAATGTCTGAATTGGTCTGTAATAAGATAGACACTTATAAGGGGTTGACACCCCTGAAGGCCGACACGGCCTTCATGGGTGTCTTCATAGGTGCTCGCGAACAGCATTTGCCCCACCAGTCTGTTCCGTCGATACGGGGGATCTTTGTCTCTGTGTCTGTACGTATGTCTGCATCTGTGCGTGAATTTAAGTGGGTCTGTATTTCTCCGTAAAACTAAGCATGCTTGTCGTATGTGGGAATCTACCTCTATCCACGTGTGCGTGTCTCTATGATAGTCTATGGGTCCTTGTGCGAGTCTAGTACGCCTGTTTAAACTGCCCAGATCGGGCTCGCATCGTCTGCCTAACAGTGACGTGCGGTGAGGTCAATGGCTGGGGAAGCACTGGCTAAGAACACGCCCCCCTCAGTGAGGCAGATGTGATAGCTGCCTCCCCTGGTGCTTTTTCATTGCAGTTTTATGACGAGACCAGCGAGCCTAAATATCTGTATACACATACGTGAAATCAGTTATCTGGACTATGGAAGGCGAAGACATGTAATGAAGGGGTCTACAAACATTACATTGGTGACATACAAAGAGATAGTAACAGGCACGTGCTTATTGCCCGCGCTCCATCCGGTTACTGAGGGGTTGCGCAATCAAAGGTTGAGGCTGAGCGCGTCGCTGCCTCACCTCTCGTCTCTTTCCTGTATTTACAGCGAAGCTCCGCAAATTTGGAGATTTTGACTAGAAAAAATGATTGGAATCGTATAGAAATGACATTTATAACACAGATCAGTGGAAAAATCTTAATATTAATTTTATATTATTTCACTTTTCGTAAAACAGCTATTTTCATTGGAGTATGGCAGGTGAGGCTCTGCCTCCCCTGCCTCCCCTGACCGCACGTCCCTGCTGCATAATGCAATGTTCTTCATTGCAGGGCCCACGGGCCTTGTGCGGCACCCACATGGCGACACGGAGCCAAGATGGTAACTACCTCGCCTGGCATGCAGGAGGTCGTGGGTTCTAACCCGACCCAGACGCCGGTATATTTGGAGTTTGCGTGCTCTCCTCGTGGTCGTGTGGATTTTTCTCTAGGTCCTCCGGTTTTTCCCTCCACATTTAGAAACGTGTGTTTGGAGTAGCTGGCTGCTATAACATTCCACATGATGATAAGCCACTTCGTTGAGCTATCATTTGTTGGCCAGGTCGCTTCTGAAACATAGCTATTTAGCTCGGTGGGCCGGAGACAAATGTGAAAACACCCCATCATGCAATCAAACCAAATGGTTTCAAATGTTTGCCGGCCCTCACACTGATGATATATTAATATGATTTTTGTTCCTGGGTAGTAGTGTTATTTTCTAATTGGTTATGCCTCAAACGTATAGAAAATGGCTATTATTCCCCACAAACTTTGCTTTTGTGACCAGGACTTTATGTGAAGGAATGACACAAAAATACACACGTTTTCTCATTGAAAATAGGTACACAATACCACTGTCCTGGTCACAAAAGCAAAGTTTGTGGGGAATAATAGTCATTTTATGCACTTTTGAGGCATAAGCAATTAGAAAATAACACTTACTACACAGGAACAAAAAGTATATTTTTTTGTTACAAAGTGAATTATCGGCGAAAGTACATGTCAACCCCCGAATTAACTTACGAACTCACTCTGAAGTAATGAATGTGCAGCCACCGAACTGAACATATATGCTCTACAGTTCGGAAGTGCTACATATTAAGCAAGCCTGACTTCTACTGATGGGACACTGCAATGTCGAAACCCAATAAAGTTGAAACAAACGATGTGGTGATGCTGCTGCTGCTGCGTTGGCAGCAGTGGCGCAACATGCACAGTTTATCAAACAGACGTGTGCACGTCTATGCGTGTGTACTGTTATCGGGACTGTTTTGGAGAGAGTGGAGAGGTCTTCCGACCTGGGCAGTGTGCTTATGATCAGCTCCGGTTTGACAGCTGAGGTCTCACTCCGAATCAGTAGACTGGCATTGTATTTCCAACGGCTGCGTAACGCTGTGTGGAAGCTACTTAGTCTGTTGCTCCACACGAAGCGTCGGATCATGACCCCCCTTTCTCTATGCTTGCGAAACGTGGATTCTCCTAATGAAACATCTTTACGATCTGCACAACCGCAGATCGTACGCTGGCTTGCGTACGATCCATCCTGGGTCTAACCAGCCTGGATTGTGTGAGGAGCTCACAAATCCTTGAAATATCTGGGGACAGTCCCATCGGTGAGCTCCTCTGGCAGGCAAGGCTGCGTTGGCTGGGCCACGTAGCCCGCATGCCCAGCCACCGCATGTCCCACACAGCTTTTGTTCGGCTGAATAGAGGGGGCTAAGCGGACACGGTACGAGCTAGAAAAGAGATGGAATGATGTGGTGCAAGAGGATATGGAGCTGACTTGACTTGTCAATGACGGAGGCGGCTCGTGAAGGACGCTGCTGGGCAGATGGAGGCAGTCGTCCTCCAGCAACAACGAGCGGAGCGCCGGGCGAGTAAAACACAGCAAGTTGGCACAGTCGGAAGCACAGGTGGTGCATCTGTCAGTCATCTCAGTCAGTCGACCCATAGCACCTGGGTCTGTCCCGTGACCTTCCTGCGGGAGTTCGACACTTCACGTGGCCTTCAAGTGCACCTCGTCTGGCACAGGCGTCGTGGTGACGTCACCGCCACTTAGTGGCGAATGCCGATTGTTGTACTGTTCTAGGTCGACTCAGCCTTAAATGAGTAGCTGGTGTGTGTTAACATCGCCGTTGGGGGACAAAGGCGGCCGGGATTGGTGTTAGCCATCGACCCCCTCGGGTGCCGTGCCGACCTTAATAGGTGCTCGCTAACAGCACTTGCTCCAAGTCTGTGAAGGCTACAGGGAGGATCTTTAGCTTTGCATGCGGGGATTGGTGGCACAGTGGTTCGCGCACTGCGCTATGAGTCTGTGTGTCTCTGCGAAACACTGGCATCAGATAATGTTTCATCCACATATTTCGTTGTGATTAATATTTCACCAGAGTGAGAGATACGGGGGTTGGGGCCTGGGGAGATTTGGATAGGAGAGATGTACGGATTGGGGGAGAGAGGAGCTGTTTGCTGAAACCCGTCTGCCCTTGGGCCTGTGTTCACGCATTCACGGGCTTCCGTGACAGCCATTGCGAAATAATTTTGCAAGGGCAAAGTTAGATCAAACGACACAAGTCTGCGGTTGTCTGCATGCGCCTGTGCATGTATGGTTGAGCTTGCGGCTCTTTCTGTGTGAATCAGCTCAGTAGATGGGCCTTTGTTAATTCCCGAGCCAGACTAAGGCTCCCAGTATGGTTCAGTGTTAATCACTGGGGCTCACAGAGCCAGACTAAAGCTCACATTGGGTTCAATGTTAATCACTGGGGCTCACAGAGCCAGACCAAGGCTCCCGTAGGGTTTAGTGTTAATCGCTGAGGCTCACAGAGCCAGACCAAGGCTCCCATATGGTTCAGTGTTCATTTCCTCGGGTCCGGGATCCGTGGTGTGGGTCTGGGGTCTGTGGTTCAGGGTCCGGGGCCTGGCATTTGGGATCCAGGCTCTGGGGTCCTCCTCTCGGTCTAATAAACCCAGGGGAGGCCCACAACCGGTTCAGATCATTGCCACTGGCGTTGGATGTGAGTGGGAATTGAACTCGGGTGGCCGGGTTTGTAGTACAGCGTGCTAACCACTGCGCCACCACTCGCCACTCCGTGCAGCCCTACACACAGGAGATGCCCGAACGAAGCGCGTGTGATGAGGGATAAAGTGCACGGTCTCACTGAGCTCCAGTGGTCACTTTTATTTGCCGTGCTACGGAGAGTCACGAGCATTTGCATTGCCATTCAAAACATTGCACACTCTCAAGTCTCGCTCAGAATGCTTGCGCCGCCTGAGCTGGTGTGGGTGCATGCGTCGGCAGCGCATGGTCCTCGAGTCATGGAGTGTGGGGACTGAGATGACGATGCCCGGGCACAGTGCAGACGGGGGACTGAGCGCCCGCGGGGCAGCTTCAATCTCGCGGTCACCTCTCGTGACATCGACGCGTTTAACGCAAACACCGCGGTGTGAAAGTTCGGACGCAAACAACGCCAGTGGTGTCACAAACTCACTACGCAGCGCCAACCGGAGGTGTTCGTCGTTTACACGTTGGTGAAGTCTCACGCTATTCTTCATTTGGAATTCCTGAGCGGCATTTTGGGTCACGTCGCAGCGCAAGTTGTCACGTGTAGAAAACAAAAAAGGGCTCCTTTGTCACTCTCTGTGCGGTCACCAGACTGCGTTCACAGCAGCCTGTGCTCGACACCATCGCAGGAGCGTGGCGGCGCCACGGCTGAATTTGAAAATGCCAAGCGTGCACAGGTGCAGACGCAGCCAGGCACAACGGAGTAACCTTATCCAGAGCGTCGAGTTAACACCTCTCTCCCCCAGTGCCACGAACCCCAAACGACACACGGCGAGGCGCGTAATACCACACACGGCGTGCGTGTGAACCTACCGGGCCTCCGAGGCCAGGAAGACGCTGCGGCGGCGCACGCTAGCCACCGCCGCTTGCTGCGTAGGATTTCACGGCGGAGCTGCGTGGCTCTCCAGTCGCGTTGCCATCGCTGAATGCCGCGCGTGGCTACACCGGGAGCTTCGTCAGCGACTGAATGTTTTTTTTCATTCACGTTTAAAAAAATCTAACAAACGGCAGACATCGTACCGACCGACAAAACAACATTGGGCACAACCCGAAAGTCGCGTGCATGCAGTTGTGTGCACGTTGCCTCGAGCGCATGCAGTTTCGTGAAATCGTTTGTCGGAGCACCGACCGAGTAGACGCGAGATTCCCGAGCGCCGGTCCTGACGACCCGCCGGGAGAGACGTCTTTCCCGATTCGCCAATCTCCTCCTCGAAGAAGCCGTCAAGAGATTACGCGACGTGTGCCTGATTGCTCAACGCAGTCTCGGTGAGTCATATCGCGATATTGGTGATTTGCATGATCTCTATTTGAATTGGCGCTCTCTGCATGCATGATGTAGCACGTGTTTAGCAATCATCAGATGCACCGAGGATGTAACATTTCTTTAAATAATGGTATATTTTTCTTTAGACTTAAAAAAAACTTTTCCTCAAATGTTATCTTGATTCTGCGATCGGCGATATGTAATAAGATGAAGATATCGGATCTTTGGCTGAGCAGTGCAACCTTTCGTGTTAAGAGAACGGTCCACGGAAGAGAATATCACAGGGCTACCGAAGAGATCACTTCTACCCACACAGTGGAATAGGGCAGTCCTTCCCAATCGTGCGGTTAATGTTTGCTGCGTGAGGTAAGACACATTTTTTACTGGCAAATTCAGCACGGAATAGAACTTAATGCGAAGGTTTTGTGATGTCATTGGTGACCGGCCTGAAAACACCAACTACTAATCAAGTTTAATCCCAAGGCGGCTAAAACCTCGAAACTGGAACCCAGGATCTCAGTTGTACCAGCTCAGTGCTCTGATCTCCGAGCCACCCGGCATCCTCAGAACAGCTTTGCACCCTGAGAGAGAGGGACCGTTAATCCAGCGTCTTCTATGTGTTCCGCCGTGCACTCCGAACACTGCCATTTGGGGAACGTCCTGAGAGAGCACTGCTAATGCTCTTGTGGCGCGGTGGTGCAGGCGAGTGAACGAACGCAAACAGCAGTGAGGGGAGGGGAGAGGCAGGGGAGAGGGCAGTGGTGAGGGGGGGTAGTGGTGGAGGAGGTAGTGATGAGGGGGGGCAGTAGGTGGAGTAGTGGTGGTGCTACTCCATTGGGGGGCGTAAGCAGAAATTAAAATGACCAATGTCCCTGTGGACCACACAGTAAAACAACACTGTAGTCTGCACTCGTTCAACGCAGGAGGAGGAACAGCAAAACTACTACATGAGCCCTCTCTCCCCTGAAGCCCTCTCGTCGTGGCCAGCAACAGCGGTAGCAGACCTCGACATTGGTTGACATCGAGCTCCTGAACCACATCGCTGCTGCTGCTGCCATCGCGCGCAAGAATAGGCAGAATGGACCACCAACAATAAATAATGGCCAAACCCAATTCGTTACATTGCAGCAGCTGTGCAAAACAATTACGTGAATCGACTATTTAGAAGTAACATTTAATTTTAGTACTGTTATTATAATTGAGCTCATGTAGGACAATGGTAAGCGTCAGGAGTTAAGAGATGGGGCTGTTAGACTGGGGAGGGCTCTGAGAGACGGTGAGAGCTCCAGCTGATATTTGGCGGACGCCTCTGACTTTTCACGAATCCTGGGAGCCGCCCTCGAGTTGCTTGGGATCCCTAAACTTTGGCTTACTCGCTTACGCTTCGCGCCACCACCGCGGCCACCACCACCGCCGCTGCCACCCCCAGCGCCGGTGCGACGGGCAGCCGGCAGGGTCAAGGGTCACAGGTTAGCATCGAGCCAGGCCAGGTAGCCGTCGAGCGCCCTCCGCCCGACGGCGAACGCCAGCGGCTGCTGCATGAACTGCATGACCCCGTGGAAGGCGTCGTCCAGGTGGGCGCGGTGCACGGGGACCCCCAGCGCGCCCAGACGCGCCACCAGCATGGCGCCATCGTCGCGCAGAACGTCGTGCTCACACGTCAGCACGTAGGTGAGCGGCAGCGTGCGCAGCCAATCGTCGTCTGCGGTGGGGGGAGCATGGCGGTGGGGGAAGGGGGGCAAGGGGCGGGGTGGGCGACTTGGGGTCAAATCCGCTGCCTCACTATCAACCACTCGCCCTCACAATTTACAACACTCAACATCACCGCTTAACCACTCAACACCAAGGCTCAACAGCACTAACATCTAACTCGACTGATAAACTTCCTGAACTCGACCAGTCGACCCTCACGCGATGTCTGCAAAGTTTTGCTCTTTGAAAACTCAATGACTCCCAGGCGCATGGCGTGAAACGTCGGACATGGTGCCGAACGACGCGTATCACAACGTGAAAACGCATCGAAAAGAGATGCAGCCCCACCGTGGTACGACCACGGTACCACCAAGGAACAACCGCGGCACAACCGCAGAAGTACTGCGGCACAAAAGCGGTTCAACTGAGGAACAACCGTGGCACTGCCGCGGCAAACCAACACAGTCACGTGACCCAGCACCGCCGACTCAACACCGCGGCGCGAGCGCCATGCATGTGCGCTGCTGCCCTCTTGTGGCCGTGCCTTGTGCCCCGCGGTGGAGGCAAGATGCGAGTCAGGGCACGAGGGAGCGGGTGGTGCAGAGATGGGAACACGAGCATCTGCAGCTCCATATGAACATCAGCCGTACGAGGAAGGTACGATGCTTAGTGCACTGCGCTACGAACCTGTACCAGCAAGTTCAATTCCTGCTCGTGGCTTACACCATCAGTGGCAAGTTTATTTGACCCGAGGTCAAATCAACCTTAAAATGAGTACTCCATGCGGTCAGTAAGCACCGCCACGGGGGATGAAGGCGGTCAGGCGTGGTGCTGGCCACCCACACATCGCGTCCCGTGTCTGTCTTAACGGCACTGCCTCACCAGCCTGCTGAGGCTATACGGGGGGATCTCTGTCATTAGCGTGTGGACGCACTCACCGGCCAGGAGTGGCGAGGCCCTGGGATCGAGCAGCGCCGGGATCTGGGCCAGGATGTCGGGGCGCGCGGGGCCCACGGGGGGGCCCGGCGCGGGCCCCGGCTGGAGGGGTGGCGGCGGCAGCAGCGAGCGCCAGTCGACGAAGGCGCCGGGGCCGCTGGGGTCGAGCAGCACGTGGCGCGAGTGCGCGTTATCCAGCAGCGCGTCCGTCAGCGCCACGTCCCCGCCTGCACCACGCACACGGCACCGCGGTGAGCCGGCTAGCGGCGGGGGGAGTCGGCGTGGGTCGTTTCAGCCTTAGTCTGGCTCTCATGGTGAGCCCCGGTGATTTACACATGAACCCCATTGGGGGCCCAAGTCTGGCTCTGCGAGCCTCTCTGTAGTTAACACTGAAACCTAGAAGTGTTACATCATGGGACCTCCTTTGCCAGTACCAAAATATGAGAATCGGTTTTCCCCTTTTTTCTGGCAACAAAACAGGTGTTACGATGTTAAAACACCAAACAAATAACATACTCTGATAATAAATGCATTGTCCTTGAAACTGATTGGTCCACACCAGAGATGGCTTTCTTTTGAGCCTCGTCTCAAACGGTGTTAGACCAGAGAACGCCTTTTGTCTCTGGTGTGGACTAATCAGTTTAAAGGACAATGCATATATTATCAGAAGATAACGAACGTAATGGGAAAAAGAAAGGGACAGGGGAGAGGAGAGGAAGTGGTGGAACCGGCGGGGAGGGGGGGCGGAGGGAGAGAAGGGGAGGCAGGGCAAAACATATCTGAGCAACACGTGAACTCGTGAACTCGTGAACTCGTGAACTAACGCCTCTACTGGAGCAGACCCGGTGGGATTTTAACGTTCCGGACGTTCCGGCTCGGGTCCTCCCTACCGTGGGTGGGCAGTGGCAGATCTGGTCAGGCGCTGCCCACCGCTCCCGCGGAATGTCCAGGCCGGGCGGCGCCGGTCGCGGATCGGCCGCCGCGATCGCCGCCAGCCACTCACCCAGGTACTGGAGCCAGAAGCGCACCATGGTGCGCCCGTAGAGGATGGGCACGTACGCGCTCTCTCGGTACGACGGCGTCTGGAAGTCGAGAGCCTGCAGCACCGGGTAGATGAGCGCCTGAAGCTTGAGGCTCGCCGAGCCCTCCTCGGGCTCCCGTGCCAGCTGCGGTGCACGCAGACACGAGACAGAGAGAGACCCTTGAGCGA